TGTTATTTCTCTATATGTCAGTCCCCAACTCTTTACCATGTGCTTTTGAGTGGAGATCATAACCTTGTTGATTCTTATTTCACTAAAACTGAACACCACACCCAGAATATTGTGTAGACTTACTGTTTTTCATAGTAATAAATAAGTGTAACTGCTTCTTCTAGAAAAAAGCAGTTGTAGAATTGTATTTGTAACTTAGTTCAGAGTAGAACATATTTCAAAATATGAATCTAGTACTAAAAGGGGGAAGCTGAATATATACTATTTAAAAATCCATTTAAAGTAGATGTCAGAGGCATTTTTTATTATTTATAAATTGGATCATTCATCAGTGGAATATGGAACAAAAGAAAGGGAACTACTCACTTAAACTGTATGAATTTTTACTTCTATTTCATTTCAAATCAATAAGGTGAAAGTCACTTCTAAAGTATTATGATTCATGAACTTCATTTACAGCTCGTTCTTTTGGTTTGATCAGAATAGCCATCTTTATATAGCGCTAGAATTGTTGATATTTTATTGCATTGCCACATCTCATTATTATGTATTAAACATTATTATTTATAGCCACCACTTATTCTGATGTGAGACAGAAAAAATTATTGGAGTCTTGGCACTTCAGGAATAGACATTTTATAGGAATGAAGAACTGACTAGGAAGAGTCAATGGTCCTTCAGCTGCCCCTCAGATCATTAACTCCAAGTGGTTATTTGCTTCCAGACACTGTCTTGTGCCCAGGATATTACTGCTGTGATATGTAGATGAAGGAGAATATATTTTAAATGCTTTAATATGAACGCAATGCTCATGAAGGGTGCCAGATTGAAAGCATTGGAGTTTGAAGTCATCGGGTTATGCACTTGGCTGATTTCAAGGTACAGAGAGATGCTTGACCTTGAAAGACCACCTCTTAAGAGGGAGAAAACATACAGCTTGCTGAACTTTAAGAGACAGAGAATCAGTATGGAAACATCCCAAAGTTAAGCATTTTTACCAAGGAATAAAACTTGAAATTGCTAGCTAAACTTAGACTTCAATTTCGTTAGTATAATGCCAGTACTGCTGTGGTGTGGGGGTGAGTGGGAGTTAGTGGTCTAAGGATACACACTTGCTTTATTTCAGAGAAACAAGTGTCCTATTATCAACTCACTAATCCACTTAAACAGCATTCTTTTAAACAACTAATATATGTGTGTACATTTCAATTTATCCATCAATGTTGACTCCATATTATATACTTGAGAAGAGTCCTTATTTTGTGGGTGTGTATCTCTCTCTCTCTTTCTCTCTCTCTCTCTCTCTCTCTCTCTCTCTCTCTCTCTTCCTCTCTCTGCACATGCATGTGAACATATGTGTGGTTGTACCTGCTCATGTGTTCATGTTTCCGTGGACTTCAAAGATCAATGTCGTGTGCCTTACATACTTGCTTTCTACCTTATTTTTTTGAGGCAGGGTCTGTCACCGAACCTAGTGCTCACTGATTCAGTTAGATTGCAAGGATCCATTTAGCCTCTGAAGTGCTGAAATGTACATTTTTTAAATGTATATTTTATTGAGACCTTGTGCATTTCATATACTAGATCTTAATCAAATTTAGAGACCCATTTCCCCCAGCTGCATCCCCTATAACTCCCCCCACAGGATTTCATTAATTCTGTCATATATGCCAAGTCCTATCCAGTGAAGCATTTGTACCCAGATGCTCCTCGGTAGAAGTTCATCCACTGGTGTCTAGTCAGTCTAATTAGAAATTACACCCTTAAAGAAGATTTATTTTCCCTCACCTGACAGCAGTCAATAGCCAATAGTTCCTCAGCCTGCTGACCATTTCCCCGGTTTTATGTTGGGTTTTTGCCTCATTGACTCAGCATGAGTCTTGTGCATGCTGTCATGATTGTTGCAAGTTCATATAAGCAAGTTCCAAGAGGGATGAATGCCTCTTTTCCTTTATGCTCATGCGCCAACCTTGGCTCTTAAAATCTTCCTTCTCCTTTTCTGCAGTGGTCCCTAAGCCATGGGTGGTTGAGGTTTAATATAGGAATACTGTCCAGGGACACATACTCTATAGTCTATTCTTTTAAAACTTGACCATTTATGACCTTCTGTGTGCTTAGTACTCTGTTGCATAAGGAAACTACTCTGGTGAGAATTGAGGGATGCATTAGTAGTCTATCTCCTGTTCCACTATGTTCCACGAGCCTTAGGTATAGAGGTTCCACTGTACTTGTGTTACTTGGGGTTAGGCATCTCTCAGACATATATTCTCTGTATAAAATGTACACTACTGATAAGAGAAGCTTCTTTTTGCAACGGATGGAGGCTGTTACAGAGTTCCTGTTTTGTTTTGTTTTGTTTTTTTTAAAGTGGGTACTAGGGATCAAACTCAAGTTCTCATGATTGAGCTATAAGAATTTTACCAACAGATCCATCTTCTCGGTCCCAAGCATCTTTATCCCTTTTAACTATAGAATATTTGAGTAAAATGATAGTTGTAGTTATCTATCCCTAGGTTTTTAACATAGATATGAAAAGCAAGGCCCAGAAAGGAGAAGTGACCCAAGGAGAAATGTATTGCTAATATAGATTTGGAGTCAAGTCCAGGTTTTCTGATCAACAATAACAGCTTTTCTACTATGCCATGCTTTGCCTCCAAATAAGGAAAATTAGCTGCTCTCTGTATGTTTTAAATATTTATTGCTGAATATTTTTATAATTTTTATTGAGTTTGTGTGAATTTTGCATAATAGTTCTTAATCAAATTTAGAGCCCTTGCCCCATTCATGCCTCCTATAGCCCCCCACACACCTGATTGAATTTCATGTATTCTGTCATACAGGTTAAATCCTATATACTCAAGCATTTGCAGCCACATGCCCTTCAGTGCAGGTTCATCCACTGGAGTCTCATTAGCTTATCTAGAGATCTTAAAAAAGATCTCTCCCTCATCCAGCATTATCAGTTGCCAATAGTTCCTAGACTAGGGTTGAGGCCTGTTGCCTGCTTCCCTCATTCTATATTAGGTTTTTGTCTGACTGAGTTGGCATAAGAAAACAGGCTTTCAGACCAATGGAAACTTGTTTGTATGAACTTGCAGCAATGCTGACAGCAGGCTAAATATTTTTGTAAGTGTGCATTCTTGGGTTCTGTCAGGGACGTTTCCCTTTTGTTAAGTTGTATTCATTCACATTAGCCTTAAAGCTTTCTTAGTAGGGAAGATATCAGTTCCTATCATATGACAGGCACACATATTTTCTAAGTTAAAATTACTCTCAGAAATGAAACAATATGTACAAATGACAAAGAATCTTGACTTCCCTTCTCAGGAAGGATTCTTTTAAATGTCTCATTCAATTTTCTAATCTTAAGTTTTGTTTTCTAGTAATTAGACTCTGGGGCATTATTTCCTTAAAAACAGTACATCTTGAAGAGTGGCAAATAGAACTATGTGTAATATAGTCACAATTGGCAGATATAGTCTACGTTCATATAGAGTAATTACAACTAACTGAATCTCAATTAATGGTCTCTTTAATACAATGCTTCTATTTTTACTACATTTTTCAAAGGGAACAGCATTTTCTAAAATATGGGGGATTGTTTTGCACACCTCCATATTTACATACTTTTAAATAAATTATCAAGTGATGTCAAAGACTTGCCAAATTACCCAAAATTCAGAACTTTTCACTATTTTTTTCCACTTGGAATAAGAATTCATATTTGACCCCTGGGACCCACATAGTAGAGGGAGAAAAGTGACTCCTGAAAGTTGTCCTCTGACCTCTACACATCTGCCATGCCACTTGTACACACACACCACATACCACACACATACTCGCTCACAAAATATAAACTGTGATAACAATTTTTGAAAAATAATTAAAATTTCATTGATATCTGTAAGTAAAAAGAATTAATATTTGATTAAAGATATACAGCACTGCCAGATATAAGAACAAAAGGATAAAAAACAATGCTTTGCTGGGCATGTGGCACACTCCTTTAATCCCAGCACTCCAGAGGCAGAGGCAGGCAGATCTTTGTGAGTTCCAAGCCAGCCTGGTCTACATAGTGAGTTCCAGGACAGCTGGGGATGCAGGGAGACCCTGTCTCAAAAAGACAAACAAACAAACAAATAACAAAAAAATACCAACAAAAAACAATAGTTTTTATTCTCCAGTTAATAAGAATTAAATACTAACATTTTATTTAAATTAAGAAATATAACATACATTCCAAACCCTGCCACATTTTCACATATATTCTACAAAATAGAGGACTGACTCTAAAAGCACTTCCTTAATACTCTATTTCAATTCTGTCTACATTAGCATATTTATCAGAAGAAAGGGTGTGATAGTTGCTGCCTAGAAGTTCTTCAGTGAAGGTTCATTGGGCATATTGATAAATAAATGGATAAATGAAAGGAAGGGGAAATGGAAAGTTAAATAAATGAATTCAATAACTTTGGAAATATTCACAAAATTCGAAGTTTAAATATTTTACTTGTAACTTTCTTAAAGAATCAAAATATCCATTTTAGGAGGCAGATATTGTTCTGTCAGAAAATCTTCTGAATGGAACATTTGTTGCATTTGATAGGGAGATATGACATATTTACTTGACTCTATGTGAACTACTAAATAATTTTGCAATACACTCATTGGCCATGACTTTTCTCACATACTCTACAGATGTTGCACCCATTAGTCACAAAATCTCCTGGTTTTAGTTGCTGTATGTAGAAAAAGGTCACATAATAATTCAAGCTTGTAAGACAGCTTGCACATTTGGTTTTGCAAGAACTCTTACAATAAGGATGCAGGTTATGCATAAAATGGACAAATATATATTTCAAAATATTCACAAGAATGCATTTCATTTATGTGACATTCAATAAATATAGTCCATTATATATCTGGAACATTTCATTATTTTCACATTTTGTAGCTATGTGTTCAATTTGCAAATAAATTTCAGAGTAGACTGCACATACCTTGGTAGATTCAGAAGTAAAAAGAAGTTAAGCTGAAGAAAGGTCACTCTTGTAATTCCTGAAAACAAATTAGGTCAAATTATCTTTCTGATATACATACAAAGAAGTTTAATGGAGCACTTTTATATGGGAAAAGGTGTTGATACATGTAGGCTGAGGGATAGACTGTAATTCACAAGAGGAGATGGGTTTCTTGTTTAAAAGTTCTGCTTGAAACTTCAATCAAATGAAAGACTACTAATAGAGGGGGTTTTATTTTTATTGTTGTTTTGTCATGCTGTGGATAGAACTTACAACCTCAAGTACATAAGCAAGCACTCTAGCATTGATTCATACAATACTAAAGAATTTTTCAATTATTCAGCATATGCATAGAATAATATGGGAGTCTCATCTACTCCCAAAATAACTTCATTTAATTTTCATTCAATGTACTGGTCATTTTGAGATTACATTCACAATACCACAACGTTATAATCTACATAAAGTTCAAAGTAATTTTAATTTCTTATAATACTCCATTGTATTTTACAGAAACCCTTCATATACACATGTCACATATTTCTTCAAATAACTGTTACAAGTTTAACACTCAGAGAACTTCAATTGCAAGGATCAATGTACCAATATGGTAGGTGACTAAGCCAGGATGAGAGCTCATGGATTTTTTTTTTATTTTTAGTCCATATTTTAAATGTAATATTTCACTTGATACACTTATTCAACGATTATGAAAATGGAGATAAAATGTGTTTCTGATGTGATATGCTTAATACTAGGACAACAGGTTTGCTATTATAAAATGAGCTTCATTAATTTACTCTACTTGAAAGATACACTTCTTCCTGTGATTTGTAACATGTGCAACATGAAATGAAATGGATGACAAACATATGAAGTTTACAAAGCCATCTATGCGTAATGTAAATTGATACATTTGTGGAGGGCAACTTGTCAATAGTTACTAAAATCTTAAAATATACAGTTCATTTGATGTGATGTTACCATATTTAAATACTTATAAAGAAATAGTAACTGCTCACTGTACGGAGTTGCATTTAATATTTTTGTGATTTTTATGAAAATACTGGAAATTGCCTAAATATACAATAATTTAAGTTTGGTTAAATAGAGTGTGACACAAGTACATGATGGATTACTAACTAAACTGCAAGCATGGTATGGGAAAATGGTATGCTAATTTTCACTTGGTGTAATTTCTACCTAGGCTTCTAAACTATACTTTGAAGAGCCAGAAAAGGGAAAACCATAAGTTTTATTTTATAGTTTTTCATTGTTTTTTCAGCTCTTTCTCTACTTCTGTTTCTATATGTAAAGATATGTTTTATCAATATAGTAAATTCTCATAATAATAGTAACTTTTAAAAGTGCATGATAACGTAATGGCAATGTAACTAGTACTGAAAAATAAGTTTAGAATGTATGGTTCTACTTTGTGTATATCTGTAGTATCTAACTTTTCTGTAATGAATATATGTTACTCATGTAGTAAAATATGTATTTTAATTGCTTCAAAACTCCATTTTAGAAAAGGCAGTATTGTGAGTCAAATCAGAAGACAAAGAAAATGTCAACCTTAAATTTTAACATTCTGATATTTTACATGTAACATTCAATCCTGTGGCCCCAATTTATCAATCAAATAATTCCCAAATTTTTTACTTTTACACTTGCAGGAAATTCGCAATAGTGAAACCAAATCTTTCAAAGACTCTACTAGCATTTCAAGAAAAAAGACATTTAAATGCATTTTAAATAATGTAGGCCAATAGTTTTATTGTCACCTTTGACAACAATCACTAAGATGACCTTGTAATGATAACAGAGTATGATATTATTACTAATGATTCAATGCCCTATATATAAATCATTCGTAATAGACTGAAGTGGTGCAGTTGATTAGTTGCAATCTAATTGCTTGATGTGCATTTTTCATCACTGTTAATGCTGCTCAAAAAAGACATAGTTCTGCTTAAGTGTTGATGTGGTTCTATAATAGTGCTAAGTTAGAATCTTTCAAGGGAAGGCACTTCAGAAAGTACTGACATCCAAATACAAAAATTATTCCTGGCTCTTCTGCTACACATACCAGAGCAAGGCTGTAGAAATTGGCTTCATACTATCAGGCTGATTCTGCAAGG